AAAAAAAAAAAAAAAAAAAAAAAAAAAGAGTGACAAAAAAATTGCTGAATTTTTTCCACACTTTACCTATTTGTTAGAAACCAGTCTCACATTGTTTTCCCAGTACATACTAAGTCCCAAATTCATTTTCCTGTATAGCTGTCAAGGTCTCAGTGTAGGAAATCCACTTGCAGTGAATCATGGGCCTTTGGGCTTCCTAGCATGGTGCACTTCAATTCTACAGAACCATGTACTTTTCCTCCTTAACAAATAAATTGTCCTTGAAACTTGACAAGCAGCACAAAAATTATTTTCTTTCTTGCAGAAATATTCACTCCATAAAGGTTGCCTGAAATTCACTGGGTAAAGTAAGCCAGAGTGCCAGGATGGCCAACCCTAAATGTCAGATGCTGAACTTTAGGCCCTTGATGTTCTCTCCCTTTCTTTCTTTTGGCCAAACTCTTCAGCTCTAGAGCAAAAGACTAAATTCTTCACTACTATCCCTTGTACCTAAAGTGGTAGGTGGAAAGAGATAAAAAGGCAGTTTCCTGAAAGTTAGCTCCCTTTCTAGGGGCTCACACTTGCATGCCCACCCACTCCCCAGCTGCTTTAGCTCCCATCTTCATGCATGGCAGGGTTTGGCTCAGAGATCTGGAGCAAATCCTGGCCTGGCAAGTCAAAGGGAACAAGTGAACACACAGGAAGTTGGGTTGGTGAAGGACTCCAGAGGAAGAAAGGCTTAAGACTTTTCTCAGATGAAAATTCCTAGTCTACTGGGGAGTTCAGAGAAGGCACCAATAGCTACATCCTGAAATAAATCAACAACTACATTAGAAAAATAAGGAAAACTTAAAGACAGCTTTATTTTCAAAGTCCTTGACATATAATATAAAAAAAGACAACAGCGAAGTCTAAAGATAGCAGGAACTATACCCCTGAATGTCAGAGTACTTTAGGGCTAAAAGGAAGGGTAAGGAAAGGTGGGTGGAATACTCAACATTTTCTAGCTTCAGAAAGCAGAGAGCCCAGATCACAGCTAGAACATCCTAGTACTGGTTACAGATTCTTTACAAAGGTGTTTACCTGCAGGAAAGAGAAAATCCAAGTTAAATTTCACATTTTCAGCAGATTATTCAGTGGTCTGCCCACAGTGTATATATATCCAGTCCCATGAGCTTTTGTTAAGAAGGGAAAAACAGGCTGGAGAAGAAATGTGAGCTGCCTAGAGTCATACAGCACCAAGTGGCAGAGCTGGGAAAAGAATCCAGAAGTCTCATTTCCCTAATTTTAGAATACCTTAGAGGAGAAAGTCAGCTGGCAACCACATGTTACAAGTCAATTATTCAACAATTATTAATTCAACATACTTTAGAGAATAGGGGTTATATTTATAACTTTAAAAAGATCCCACAGTCTCTGGAGTGTGAAATGCAATTTGAGATGCAATGCATAAGACCTAATATATTGAACTTGGAAGCAAGGAACAGAGATACAAAAATACAATAGAAGAAAACTACTAGAAAGTAGGAGCTAAGGTTCTTCCTACCTTTCTGATGAGTTCTTCTTGTTTGGTTACTTCTTCAGAAAAGTCATCATTGACATTCAATATCAGCACTGGGATGTTCAGCAGAGCATCAAAGTGGAGCCTGTAGAAATTACAAACATTTGGGTAAGAAGAAAAACAATTTGGGCCAAACTTTACATGTTCACCAAATTCTGGTAATTCAGAGAACAAATCTCAATTCACACGGCTTCTCAATGAAAATACATATAACCACCAAAAAACAAACAAACAAACAAAAAACTCAATAACATTGGTTTGAAAGAGGAAGGTTGAGATTTCTCTTCAGTTAAGACTGATATTGAGGGTCAGAGCGCCAAACATTTTTAAGTGGACAACATGCCAAAGCTGAAGGGAGGCCAGGAAGAAACTAGGAACGTCAACTTAGTAAAACTGATGTTTTCCCAAAAGTTTTTATCCCTTCTCATGAGCCAACTATTGTAATCATCAATCACAATGTTCAATCTAAGTAAATATTACAAAAAAGAATAGAGTAGAATCTAATATTCAGTATAAAATTTCTGAGTTGGAAAATGTTGGACATTTCCAACCAACCATTTCCTTTCAGGGCTGCATTTTGAACAACTGGAAACAGGTCTGTCTGATACTGCTCCTTTTTCTACTTACTTGGTTGTCTTGTGAACAAGCCAGGCTTCGTGCTGACCATGAAGCTGCTCAAGATAGGCCAGCTCAATTCCTTTCTCTTCCTTCCTGGCTCTCTGATCCAACCTCTTCAAACAAATCTAAAAGACAATCAATTTCCAGACTCCACTGAGTTCTGGCCAGAACTGCATATGTAGTCTTGGGCTGGGGGTGGGGTAGGGCTTATTACCCATATATCTGTACGTCTACCTCTGTTACCAGAAGCCATAACCTTGCTTCTGCTGCCTTGTTCTCTTATTCATTCAGAATACCTACATCTTTCTCTCTCTACTTGCTCCTTAAATCTGCTCTTCTTTTGGAGTATCCTTAGCTGGTTAGTGGCAAACACCATCTACCAGGTCAGCCCAGCTAGGATCTGGGAAGTAGCCTTCTTTCTTCTCTTCCTAACTATAGGAGGAAGTAATAAATTCTCTACTCTCTCTAGTTGGTTCTCTTGCTTCTTCTTTCTACCCTAATCAGGTACTCATCACTTCACATCTAGACTATGGCAAGGACCTCTGTATCCTGGAGGTGAAGTAGCTGGAAAGAGGTCAGGAAAGCCCAGTAGTCAACTAGTCTTGACTGTGTACCAGTGGTGCGATCTTGGTGAGTTTCCATTCCTCATCTCAACCCACCCCACAGGTCCTGTAAGTTTTTGCTGAGGTAAGACAAAAAAATACCTGGTAAATGCTGTTCTCTCCTTCCAGTTGGTCCCTTCAGTCTACTTTCCATAATACTGCAATATAATGGCATTACTTTCCCCATTTAAAATACTTCACAGGTTTTTCACTGCTTACAGATATGAACACAAGTTCAAGAAAATAGGAGAGGCATTATATTTGTTATATGATAATTTGAAATGTCTTTCATATTACCTCAAATACTCACTCTGGAGTAGAATGTGAAATCTGCATGGGTCAAAGATAAAACAAAGAACTGAGGGGGCAATAGCCCTGACACTAACTCTCCCTTTCACTCCAATTTGCAGTGTGTGCACAATCCTCTTCACCTATGTGGGAGAAAGTCTGAAGCACAGTGGCCCAGAGGTGGTGTTCCCTTCTCTACCTATCCCATAAGGCTGTCCCTCCAATGTTTCCTCAGTGTCATTAGCTCCTCCCCTGGCCTTGCTGCTTCAGCTAGATTTGACCTCATCTGATACCTGCAGATAGGCTAAGCTTCTTCACACCTCAGAACTTTTGCTCCAGATGTTTGTTTTGCCTGAATTGCCCTTGATCCTCTCTCTCTGCAGGCAAGACATTCCTTTATTGAATTTCACCTGTCTTGGAAATATAGATGGATTAGCCCATTGACTTAGGACTTCCCTCTTTCAAATACTTAAAATATGTGAACTTTAATCTCTAAAATAGTACACAGTATTTCCAAAGATGTTGGGGCTTTGCTGTTTCCCTCTTACCTTTTCTCTAAGGAGACAAAATCATGTATACAAATTTCATTTAGGTTGTTATGTCCAGCTTTCTAAACTGGAGAAGAGACACAAGTCTAGTGGATTAATTTTTTTTTTTTTTTTTTTTTTGGTACCGGGGATTGAACTCAGGTCCTTGAGCTTGCAAGGCAGGCCCACCGAACCACTGAGCTAAATCCCCAGCCCTGGATTAATATTTTTATTATTTTATTGTCTCTGCCTTTCTTCTAATCAATTAATAATTACCCCTAACTCATCATTCTGGTGCTTGGAACTTTATAATTTAGATGGGTTTTAAAACATATGCAAAGTAGCAAATCAAGTTCTGAACTGTGTGTGCCTGGATCCTAAGTGCAGCGGTTCAGATAAAGGAGGCAGCATGCTCTCCAATTCCTACTTCTGCAGAGCTTCCCCTTTACCTTAGGCCGCAGCTTACTGAGCACCACTCTGAGAGCCAAGTGCTCGTGGGCCCCAAGGAAACAGACCACTGGGGATTTTCCAGATGAACTGGAAGACAGAGGACAGTCTGCATAGGACTCTAGGAGGGCACAGTGACATGTACTCATCTAACATTTTCATTGCTGATATCTAGTCCATCCATATTTTCATTCATTTACTTTTTTTATATTTCTACTTTCCTTTACTCTGATTCTGTCTTTTTTCTTTCTTTCTACCTCTACATCCCCACCCTCACTGCTGATGGTTGAGACCTTTCCTCCTTATTTCTCTCCTTCTCTAATCAGTTTTTTCACTATATCCCTGACTTCCAGCTACCTAGTTTTCTCCCCTCACAACCAGTGTTATTAAATTTCTATACACCTTCAGACATAGTTTTTGTACACAGACATTCTTTCTCCCACCTTTTAAAAAAATGTATACGAAAGTGTTCCACCCAGCCGTCGGGAGGCTCAGGTCAGAGGACTGCCCAAATCCAAGGTCAGCCTACATTATATGGTGAGTGCAAGGCCAGCCTGAACTGCATAATGAGACCATCTCAAAAAGAGAAACAGAGAGAGACAAGAGAGACAGAAAGTGTTCCACCATACACTCTGCAGTTGTTTTTGATCATTTAAGAATATCTCTTGAAAAAAAAAAAAGAATGTCTTAGATACTGTTACACATCGGTACAGAAATAACTCTCTCTCTTTTATAGTGTCAGAGGTTTTTAAATTTATGGTGAGAGCATAATATATGCAACGGCCTCTACTGATGAACCATTGGATTGTTTCCACTAATTTGGTGTTACAAACAATGTTGCCTTGTGCATAGGCTATTTTGCACATGTAAGTGTTATCAATGGAACTCTGTTGTTGTTTTGAGACAGGGTTCAGGTTGGTCTTGACCTCACTTGAGGCTTGAGCTGGTCTCAACCTTGCAGCAATTCTCCTGCCTCAGCCTCCCTAGTGCTGGGATGACAGGCATGTGCCACCAACCCTGACCCCTCAGCGGTGAACTGTAAGTGCTATGATGCATAGGTCAAAGGTACAAGCACTTGCTATTATATATTGTTAAACTGCCTGCTTATAAGCTAACAAGCAAGTAGCTAGGATGTCTAAACATTGCAAAGCTATCTAATTTTCCTCTCAGAGGAAAAAATAGTATCTACATTAAAGTATTTTTTTACAATAGGCACATGTAAGAATACAGCAATTCTTAGATTGATCTATTAAGAAATGTTCATATTTGGTTTACTATTAATTTAACAGAGCAAATTATATCTCCCCACCCCAAAACTAGGTAAACTCTTTTGAACGTTGGCATAATTCTTACTTTATTGGCATGGCTATGACAATTTTTTAAGAAAGATCTTACTCAGGGGCGGGGGATTTAGCTCAGTGGCACCACGGCCTGCCTCACAAGCACAAGGTTCCAGTTTGAACCCCGGTACCAAAAAAAAAAAAAGATCCTATGCAAACAGTGCTTTACCCTGGCCCCATTTCACCTTGGTCCTCCCTGGAAAGACACACCTGAATGTGAACAGGAAAGGCAGTATAGGTGCAAATGGCAGGGGAGGGGCCCTGCAGATATTTCCTGGACCTGCCCCACCTAGGAGGAAGACCTGCTCTTGACTGCTTGGCATCAGAGACAGCAAATGGAACATGACTGCTGGTGGGTCCAGTTACCATGCCTCCCAAGATCGAAACCCAGGTGCCATTTGTTCCCATACACCTCCTGTACACTGTTTCCAGTTTCACAGTCCTAGGCAGGGCCTTCAGGCAGACTGAGGCAGACCGATCATCTATACTCTTGATTCCAAAGGGCTGGAGCAACACTGACACTCAGCCATTTTTTTTTTCACTATGTATTTTGTGATGGCTTGAACTCACTGTGTAGCCTAGGCTGGTCTTGAACTCGTGGTGATCATTTTGCCTCAGGCCCCAGAGTTATGGGATTACAGGTATAAGTCACCATACCTCGCTTCTTTTAATCATTTTTGAAACTGCAGGCTGGCTTCCTGATTAGAATTTAGAGGACAACTGGTAGAAAGGAGCCAAAGGCCATATTAAAGTCCTTCTCACATTGTCTAAACTTACTATTTGCTAACGCTCTGTGATGGATATCAGGCACTGATAAAACATTTTATATAGAGACATTTTAACTTCTATTCTTTTCTTCCTTTGTATATAGTTACTCCTGAATCTCATAGAAGAGGTCTAGGCCACTTCAGGGAAGGATATGGGCATTCCTGGGTATAATACCATCAAAATAGCATAAAAATCCTTAACTAATGCCAAAGTGAATCAGTGTTTTTCTTTTCTGTCATTATGTTGCAAAACCTTTAACCCCCTTCTTTTTATACCAGCTGAAATACTTCAATTAGTCTCTCCAAAGACACATACCAACCCCCTGATGATAATCACCATCCCTGCTCCATTCTCCTAGGTCATGCAGAGTGCACAAATACAAGGGAGGGATACTGGTCTTGTGGGTCCCAGCCTGGCCCCCCAAAACCAGCTCCTGTGAGCTGGCTGGGCAGCGCAGTTTCGCTCCCAGCACTGAGTCAGCTCACCTTTTCCTTAGCTCTTCCCAGCACAGTTTTCCTTGTACCAAGCTGGGCCTAAGTTCTGTCTCTAGGAATAGGTTAGGTCAGTAGTGTCTCTCTCCTCCCTCCCTCCTTCCCTCTCTCTCTCTCTCAATCTCTCTCCCCTCTCTCTTGGGATGGGAATCTGAATTTATTTTTTTAATTATTTAAAAAAATTTGTATCAGTACATCTTTGCAGTATGTAATTTTTACATTCCATATGTGGAGTTGGTACAGGTACACAACACATTCCTTTTCTCATTCCCTTTGCCTCCCCTCCCTGTCCCTCCCTTCTATCTCTTGATCCCCTTCCCATTTGAGAAAGATCTATCTCCCTACTTCTTATTATCTATCTTTTATTTTGCTCTTTATAATATGGGCTTCTCATGTAAGAGAAACCATGAAATATTAAAGCTTATGTCTGATTTTTTTCACTTAACATTATGATCTTGAGGTGCATCCATTTTTCTACAAATAACTCATTTATCTTTCTTTATGGCAGAGTAGTACTCTGCTGTGTATAAATACTATCCCTTCTCCTAATACTTAGTCCCTCAATCTCTTACTTCTTTCAGTCCAGCCAACCCATGACTACAATGGAAACTTGTTACCTCTTCAAATTCCAACGAAAACTGTCACTCCAACTGTCCAACCGTCCAACTCTACAGCACTCTTTCTCCTCTTTGGTCCTGGCCATGAGCCTTCCTGGGAGCAGGCTTTCTCTGTAAACCTGACCCCTACCCTCAGCTACTTCAAGATGTCCTCTCTGGCAGAGGAGTCCTCTTTCTCCATTCACTGACACCAATCCCTTTCCATTAAGTCTAATAAACTCAAAATTTGCCCCTTCTATTCCTACTCCCCCATATTAAAGACCACTGAAAGAAGTCATATAAATGTGACCCAGCCATTCAACTTGCCATGAATACACTTAACTTGAACTTGATTCTCTTCGTGGAAGCTTCTCAGCCTTCTGGCCTCACTGAACTGCTAATTTAGTGGTATGGTTTAGATCAAGAATGGCCCCCAAAATTCTCCTAAGCCCAGAGGTGGGGCTTTTGGAAGGTGACTGGATTATGGGGCACTACAGATGACTTGCCGTAAGGAGGTGGAGCCTGGTTGGGGGTCAATGAAGACATGACCTGGTAGATTATATCTCCCTCCCAGGCTCCTCGTTTCTCTCTCTACATCCTAGTCAGCATGATACCAGTACCTTTTCCTCTGCTATGCCAGCCAACCATGAACTATAACTCTGAGCAAAAATAAACTTCTCTTCCTTTAAGTGATGGGTGTGGAGTACTGTGTAACAGCGACAAAAAAAGTGACTAAGACATTTAGTTTCATCTTAAACCTTAGACTCTCTTATTTCCTCCTGTATTCTAACTTCTATGTCATAATCACCAGAAGTTCCCAATACAAAGATGCCCAATATCTAGCTCAACAAGATCATTATAGCCTCCGATGACCATACCAAAGGAAGGAAGAGGTCACTGGCTGCATGTCGGAGCATTTGAGATGCAAATCTGGAGTGATGGGGTTGATGCCCAATCTGTTCTGGCTTGCCGCTTCACCAAGAGGGACCCTTCTGTACACAATCAGTTGCTCCAGTGTGCTGCTGCATGTGGGAAATGAAGTGCTTGGTGCTAGAACAGAGGAGTCCACCCACTGCCTTCTGCACTCTGGTAATGCTTGCACTTTAACTTCTCTGAAAATCAGGGACTTACAGAATGTCTTTAAAATTTTTCCTATTACCCTAAAGTCTAAGCCTTTAGGTTCAGAGTTACCTGGGGAGTAGCCTGTAGGTAGATGAAGCCATGTAAGGAGAGCTGGCTGGCAAACTCCTGCAGGAGAAAAGAATGCCAGTCCTGATAGATGTGCCACTCGATGTCACTGAGGGAACCATTTTCAAAAAGATTCTTTGCAAAGATATACCTGTTTGGAAATGTAAGTAGGATGGGGTGGGAGTAGTGAGGAGAGGGGAAGAATAGGAAATGGAATGAAAGGCACAAGAGAGAGAAAAGCAGAAAAATCAATAACCAACTTGTCCCATGTTTGTTCAAACCACTTAACCTTTCTAGCTCATCAATCCTTAAGCAATCTGAATTCTTAACCCACAGCTCCCTCCCTGCTCAACAGTTTGATGGGAAATAGCACCTAGAATTAAAGGCTGAAACCAGCTTTTGAGATAGGAGTAATTCACTGGGGCAGGAGGAGAAAGACACAGGAAGAAGAACACATCAGTCCCTGACAATTTTCCCTGCTAGAAACCACGCAGAGGAAACAGCAGAGGATGGATGTAAACTTGAACTTTTGAAATTTCCTTATTATTCTTGCAAGGCCCTAAACAAAAATCAAATGAATTAAGTATAAAGCCATCTACAACATTTCACTTAAGTACTGAGAGCTTCCAAGTCTCCAACCATCTTTGTCTTTAGCTAAGTGGACAGGAAACTGTCTTTATGTGGTGTCATTTTTAGAGCAAGAAATGCATTTCCCATTGACCTCAGTATTAACAAGAAAGCAGACTATCCTCCAAAGCCCTTACTAGCTTATTTCTGCTGCTCCTGTGCTTCTAAATCAGATAAAAGGGGAAGGTGAAAATCAAACCCACTTTTCTTATTGCTTACTTCCACAACAAAAGGAGGATCTGATAAACAGAAACCGTGGCTTCCAAAGAGTCAATTCTGCTTTCAAATCTCAGGCACCCTGAGATAAAACACAATTTCCATCTTTAACAATGACCTCCAGTTTCTAAGGCAACATCAGCACTGGCCACTTCTGGGAAAATGAAATTCAGAATCCCTGTGTAGGAAGTGCAGACTGTAAGGCTGTGAGTGCCACCTGGAAAAGATGAGGTCTCAGAGTAACTCAGCAGGATCTAATCCTGACTCTAATGTTCACTAGCCATGTCACCCTAGAAAGTCACCTGAACTCTCTCAGCCCATTGTCTTAACTGCATATTATACTCAAAGTCCTGAGAAGAGTATTATGGCTACATGTAGATGTCCCCCCAAAGCCTCGTGCACTAATAGGATGGGCTTGTGGGACTACAGAGAGTGTATGATATGGGATCATGAGTGTGTGATACTGGATTAGTCCACGGAAGGGTTTATAGCTGGATGTGATATTGGGAGGTAAATCCTGGTGGGAAGAAGTGGGTCACTGTGGTGTGGCTTGGAAGGATATCCCTCCATGCCATGCCATGGATTGTTTTTATTCTGCTTTGCCTTGGAGCTGGCTATGAACTGAAATCTCTACAAAGTGTTAGCTAAAATAAACCTTTCTTCTCTTAAATTGTGGGTGTCAGGTATTTTGTCCTAGCAATGAGAAAATAACTAAAACAAAGAATGAGTGGAATAGTATTCAAGGTTGTATTTTTGTTTTTGTTTTTCCTTCCTGGTACCGGGGATCAAACTCTGGACCTTGTACTTGCAAGGCACAGCACCAAGATAAATCCCCAGCCCTCAAGGTATCTTTTAGTTATAATTAAACTGCTTTTTGCTAAGGCTATGAAGACGATAATTTGGAAATACTAAAAGTAAACACTCCCAGTTTAGTATGGTCTAGCTATAGTATAAATGCAGAAAATGACTTTTATAAATCAAGTTCTGAAAAATGTTCAACTTCTTCATAGAAACAAAGATGAAATTTTGATCTTATAAAGAAAAATTACTAAGTCCTATAAAAATGGCCTTGCTGCTCCTCAGGATGAGTACTTCTCTTATTTTCTCAAAGCTAGTGGTGATAGGTAAGGAGGTGATAGTAGGCGGAGGTGCTAAGCACTAAGAGAAAGGGAGCTACGGCAGAAGGCGTGTAGGTGCTGCAGAGCACAAGGCTTAAGCACCTAGTGGCTAGAGCCCCTGCTCTAGAACTACATGCTAGCCTTCCCTTTAACTCAACCAAAAAGTCTTAGATTTCTTTGCCCTTGTATTCCACTCTCCCAAATAACTCATGTTCCTCCTCTGGGACATACACCACACTACATGAGCTTGAGTCCACAGTCCTGCTGAACTGTAATATTTATGACCAGAAATAGCTCTGCCTTCTCTGCTGCAGCCCCAGGTTCAAGTCTAGTATCCGAAGGAGGCACTCAATAAATCTGTACTGAGCAAACAAATACAAGGATGCTCCCCCTGCCCCAACCACCTCATGCTGTACTACTGAGATACAATCTCAGCCCCTGGTATGAATTTTTAAAATAATGGAAAAGGTCTAAATTACCCTCCAGGATTAGAATTTGTCGTTGGTTACCCTTTCTATCTCAAAATGCCCCCTTTGAAGCCAGGTGTGGTGGCACACGCCTGTAATCCCAGCACTCAGGAGGCTGAGGCAGGAGGATCACTGTGAGTTTAAGACCAGCCTGGGCTACATAGGAGTTCCAGGTCAGTCTCAACTACATAGTGAGACCCTGCCTCAAAAAACAAACAAACAGGGCCAGGGATTTAGCTCAGCGGTTCAGTGGCCTGCCTTGCAAGCGCAAGGACCTGAATTCAATCCCCGGTACCAAAAAACAAACAAACAAAAAAAGCCCACTTTGATGGGGGCACCTGAAATGCTGTAGCTTCCCATAGTGTACCAATTCTTACCTCTTTCTTTGTAAGTAAACATCAAGATCTAGGTGGCTTCTTAACAAAGCATTTCTAATTAACAAAGTATTTCTATTTCTCTGTTTTCCTCTGAGAGGTATCTTGCATGCTACTTCACTAAAGATCTAGAATTCAAAAGATCAATTGTATATGTTTCCAAGCAACCTGGGTGGTTATATGCAATTCAACTTCCTAGTCTGAGAAATGAGGTTTTACAGAGAGAGAAGAAAAAAGGCGGCAGTACAGCAATAGTGGAAAAAGAACTAAAGCTCAGAGCCCAGCCATCATGTACACATGTAGCTTTTATAAAGGGTAGGTTCTCAGGGCCTAGAAGGAAATGTATAGCTCCAAGAGTTTTGTTTCACATGTTACATGATTTTGAGGTAAAGTCAGAACAAGCACAATGAACCCTTGTTTCTTTCTTCCAGGAGGCTTTATGAGAGCACTGAGAAGCAGAAGTAGTTTATAATGTGGAATTAAATGGTTGACCAACTAAATGTCTTCAGCAGTGAATGGACAATGAAAATGCAGTATCTTTCATTCTGGCATATCAACAGTGCTTAAGTAAGATATAATTTTGTTTGAAAGTACCACTTCACTGACAAAAATCATTTACAAGCTTCAGATACAAAAAACGTTCCTGACGTCCAAAGACTTCATCTTTGGGTTTCCTAACACTAAGCTACGCTCTGGTCTCTGTGGCAAAGCCAGGAATTCTGGAGCCTGGATAGGCTACCTCTTCTGGAACAGATGGGCTTACTTTCCATGCTAGCTGCTGATCTTTTTAAAAGTGACCTCATATCTCACTCTCCCACGTGGTCAAGATGAGCCCTTCCCCTGAAGAGACACATGTACTTGTTTTCAATCCTAGACTCTGGAGAGCAGTAGGCCCTGTCACAAAAGGAGTTAAAAAAAAAAAAGGCTAAATTGAGACAAAAGTCAATTTCATGGATATGCTATTTTTGCCTAGACATCCTTTCTTGATAAATGAAAAAGGACAAATAGATCTTCAGTAATCATTTTGGGAATACAAATTTTAAATCCATGTACTTTTTTCTTAAAGGTAATAACTAACCATCTGGTTTCTGAGAATATACACTGCTACTACCTGATCTATTCTGTGCCTTTTAGCTTGTAATGGTTACACAGGCAGCTACCAGCTTGCCTCTATGCAGTAAAATAAGGCAACATAAGGCAATCAGTGGAACTGCAGGAAATTCAATGCAATTAATTTATGAAAAACATAAATCCTTCTTAACATATATGACATCTCAGCTGAATTACAATGTTGAAAAACTTTCATCTTTGTAAAGGCTACTTTATAAAGATTTGTCCAAAGTACAACTTTTTTGTTTTGTTTTATTTTTTGAGACAGGGTTTCATATGTAGTTGAGGCTAACTTGGAACTCACTATGTAGCCCAGGCTGGTCTCGAACTCACAGTGGTCCTCCTGCCTCAGCCTCCCGAGTGCTGAGATTAAAGGCGTGAGCCACCACGCCCGGCTTCAAAGTACAACTTTTAATAACTAGAGCAGTACATGGCCTGTGTAAGAAGAGAAAACATAGAACTGAAAACAGGGGCTTATGACTGGTAGAGGGCTTGGCATCTTACCTGTCACTGTACACAGACCTCTCAAAGATCTGCACGGGGTTCTTGGACTGTAACAGTTTCTCAGGGAAGGGCTCCAGCTGTACTTTCAGGCGGCTCATAAAGGAACACGTCTGGAATGTGTAGGACCATCGTGCTGGCTCCTGATACATCATGTCCAGCAAGTTTCCCAGACTTTGGGTAGTTTGGCCCTAAAGAGGATTAAAAGGGGGAAGAATTTCCTACAAAGTGTATTTATTCCATAGCACCCTCCTAAAAAGGTTTAATACACAATACAAAAAGAAACTACAAATGTCTTTACACTAAAAAAATACAATCAGATCCTCCAGCTTAGTTGAAACCATAAAATCAAAGATTTTCCAACCTCACTAGACAATAATCTGACAGAGAAATATGGCATGCCACCTTCAATATAATACAGAAGAGCAAAGGAAAAACCATACATAGAATTAACACATTCACTGATGGATTTGTGGAGTCTGGGGAGGAATTAATAATCAACAGTCATCTAAAATTCTAATTTGAATCAAATTTTTCAACTGTAACGCTATATTGCTTCCTTTTTGAGATTCCACCTGTGGCTAATTCATTCTAAAACTTCAAAGCAGATAAGCAATTATTATTTGAATAATCCAACCAACCAACCAACCAAACAAAACCCTCTTCTAGAGAGTGAAATATAATTTGAAGAAGTTCATGTACTTAGTATATGGGAACAAGTATGGGATATTCAGGAGCCCTAGATTCTTGGACTCTGCCACTGAGTTAATGCAAAAAAGTTTAAAATAATTAAAATTAATAAATAATTAAAATAATTAAAAAATGATTTTATTGGTATATTTTAAGTATACAATATGACATTCATCATTGGAGATTTGTACCTTTACATAATATATCTTTTTTTTTCTTTTTTGATACCAATGATCAAACTTAGGTCCTTATATTTGCAAGGCAGGCGGCAAAACCACTGAGCTCAATACCCAGCCCCACATAGTATTATCTCGATTCTTATTTTTTCCCCTTCCTCTGCCCTTCCTTCACCCTTCCTTCAACCCCTCCACCCCTCCCTATTTACAAAGACTTTGTTTCCATTTTTCACTTTCTCATAAAAGTGAGTTTTGGGGAAAGCACTTTGTATCTTCATTTATTCATTTAACCACCATTAACCAAAGGCCTGCACAGATGAGATGCTGTGTGGCCTAGGAGTATAGAAAAAGGAAGTAACATTTAGGTCAATGTTCACTATGCAATATTATTTCATTTAATCTTTAAAACAACTTCATGAGGTAAGGTTGTTATAGACATTTTCCAGAAGGGAAAGTACACTCAAAGGTTAAATAACTTACTTGCACAAGGTCTCATAGGGCTTAGTAAGTACTGAATAGGGACTCAAACCTCATTTCTAACTTCTTTGTTCTAAAGACTCTTGATAAAGGTGAACAATACATGGTTTCTGGACTCAAAGAACTCACAATGCAAATGGGAAGGTGAAGACTAAACCATAAATAGCTAGAATATAACATGATAAAGGGCCAATCACATGTGGTGGAGGCAATCTCAGAAGTTTCTTTAGAAAAAATGGTCTTAAACTGCAAAGTAAATGATGAGTGGAATTTTCATAGATGGAAATGGGGATTAAGAAGAGAGCACTTCACTGGGCGTGGTGGAACACACTTGTAATCCCCAAACTCAGGAGACTGAGGCAGAAGTACTGCTTCAAGTTTGAGGCCAACCTAGACTACAAGGTCAGTTCAAAGTTAGCCTGCATTACAATGAGACCCTGTCTCAAACGAAAACAACAAAAACATGAGAGCATTTCACGTGAACACAAAGATATGGGGTAAAGGAGGTAAGGATAAACAAGAAGTCCAAGCTGGCTAAAAAGCATTCTTGGGTTACAAAGAGCTTGGAAAGGTCCCAACTCTTTGAAAGGCTTCAGTAGAAGCAATGCATATAGAGTTGAGCAGATCTGAAAACTATTTAACTCAGAAATGTGTTCAGGATTTTCCTCCTCCCAATGCTCTAATGCACAAACACACACCAGCCTCACAAATAGTCCCTAAGAGCTGTAGGTTAAAGCAGGGAAACATATGACTCTCCTCATAGTATGTATTCTTGAAGACTACTGGAACGGCCCATGGCCTGTCATATAGTTCACATATGGGACTGAGGTGCTATACTAGGAGCTGTAGGTAGACTAGGTATGGGCTACTGCACCTGTAGGTTTTGGGCTACCAGAGGAAGAATGTTGTAGAACAAAAAACATCTACACAATTTCTGAAAGAACTCATCTCAGCTACAGATATATCCCTCCAAATGTATAAACAAAGGGATAATAACTGGATATAAAACTATTCTTCCACTCAAAAGGAGAGAGGACCAAGGTGTGGGCTTAGACAGAGATGTTGTCTGAAACAGAAAGAGAATCACAAATATCTCAATGGAATTCAAATAAGAATAAGCTGTCATAAAACAAACAAACAAAAAAACAAAAAAGGGAGTACTAGAGACACTGTTGGAGGTGAAAGACACAACTGCCAAGGAAAAACACTCCAGAAAGACAGTAACTAGAAAACTGTATAAGAGCAAAAACAACTAGCAAATCCAGCCAGGTGTGGTGGTGCATGCCTGTAATTCCTGTACTCGGTTGTCTGAGGCAGAAGGACTGCCTTGAGTTCGAGGCCAGCCTGGGCTTGATAGTGAGTTCAAAGGCAGCCTGAATTATGCAGCAAGACCCTCTCTCAAAAAACAAAAACAAGGGCTGGGGATTTAGCTCAGTAGTGATTTTTAGCTCAGTAGTTTGGTGGCCTGCCTTGCAAGCACAAAGACCCGAGTTCAATCCCTGGTACCAAAACAAAACAAAACAAAACAAAAACAAATTAGTAAATCCATATTGAACCCAATTAGCAGATCCAATTAGATGATCTATATTGAATACCAGCTTAAGAGACTCTTCCTAAAAAGAAAAAAGAGCATAAAATTATGAAAAAAAGAAGAAAAGACGTGGCCTGCCTTGCAAGCACAAAGACCCGAGTTCAATCCCTGGTACCAAAACAAAACAAAACAAAACAAAAACAAATTAGTAAATCCATATTGAACCCAATTAGCAGATCCAATTAGATGATCTATATTGAATACCAGCTTAAGAGACTCTTCCTAAAAAGAAAAAAGAGCATAAAATTATGAAAAAAAGAAGAAAAGACATATTAAGAGATCCAATACACATGGTAATATAGGCCAAAGATGTAGCTCAGTGGCACATGCCTGCCTGGCAAGTGCAAGGTCCTAAGTTTGATTCCTGGTATCAGGGGGGGAAAAAGAATTACATAGTAATGAGGCTGTAGAGTTCTGATTTTATTTTTTTTGCTTTTTTTTCTTTCCTCTGGAGAAGTACTTCAAGATGTAATGTCACTTATGTCTACCTGACAACAACCAGGACAATTTTGTATCAATTTACAAAAAGGTGCCAAAATTAAAGTCTTAAAACATCAATGTATAGTTGGCCCTCTCTGATCTGTGGTTCTGCACCTGTGGATTCAACCAAATGCAGATTGAAAATATCTAAAAGACAAAAAATTGTGTTTGTACTGAAACATATACACTTTATATAGCATAATATGTCCTTACACAGAATTTACTTTGTATTATGTATTAGAAGTACTCTGGAGCTGACTTGGATGTCCTGGAACCAACCCACTGCAGACACTGAGGGACTATTGGATCCCTAGCTGAAACAAAGCTACTTAATCAAGGACACAATTTCCCTTCTCAGGAGATAAAGAGTTCAGAGTACCCAACAATAAAATAACAGATGAAGATTTATATTCATAAGGTATGCATCTGGTCCACTGCTGAAAATCACTAGCTAACAGAAATATGTGTTATTGAGATGTTTGGTGATGAGAAAAAAAAGTTCCACAGTACAATTAGGAGTACTAGTTAAGAGCGAACTGATAAAGGCCGCCACCTGCCTCACAAGCACAAGGACCGGAGTTCTATTCCCAGCACAAAAAAAAAAAGAAAAGAAAAAAAGAAAGAGTGAATTGATGAAAAAGCTAAAATCAAGAAAAAAAAATTAAAAAATTGAGATTCCACCAGAAGCAAACAAACAAAAACCCTAAGGAAGGGGGAAAAGATACAAATTACTTACAAAGAGAAAAGGACCCCAAGAATGTAACAGTCCTATAACAGAAGCTACAAAAGATGGTTTTAGATAAGCAACCACTCAGAAATTACAGCACCCAAATAGGTAGTATTCTTTCTGGGGAAAAAAATTTCTAGAATATATCCTAGCCAACAGGAAAATAAGTCAATATAAAGGATTAAATAATGGGGGCTGGGGATGTTGTTGAGTGGTAAAATTCTTGTCTAGTATGCACAAGGCCCTGAGTTCATTCCCTATTACTGAGGAAGGAAAGCAAAGATAACACAGTAAAGAAAAAGGAGTCCGTAATAAGCCAGAACAGTTTAGTATAAAGTAACGATCATGAAGATAGTCATATATATTAATGCTAATTTAAGAGTTACTGTTAAAAGAGAAATTTTATACTTCAAAAACATTCTAGGGCCAGGGATGCAGCTCAGTGGCACCAAACCTGCTGGCAAACACAAGGTCCTAAATTCAATCTTAGGGGGCACAACAAAAAAACATTCTAAATCTGTAACATTTCACATGATTTCAATGTACCTGAGAGTGGAGTCTGGAAAAGAAGACAATAAAAAAGGTCTAGGTCCCCCCACCACAGAGACTCCCTTAACCTTTTGATAGATTTAAATATGTCTATTTTCATCTAAATAATATCATTGGTAGAATAAAACAGGAAGTTCTCTGAGGGGGGAGGAAAATGAAAGAAATTAAAATATAATGGGGAGGGAAAAGAGAAGAGAAGGAGAAGAGGAGGAAGAACAAAAAGAGAAAAAGGAGAAAGAGGAAGAGGAAGACAAGAAAGCATAGAATAAGGTGACAGGTATGATCCTAATAAAGGAGAAAATCCCCCCAAAAGGCAAACTGTTAGACTGGCTAAAGACTAAAATACCTGCTTATAAGAGAAACACCTAAAACAAAACAGATTACTTTTAAAAAAGGGAAAAATCTATCAAGTAGATGCAAATAAACAAAAAGCATATGTGGTAAATTATATCAAGAAAAAAGCATTAAGTACTACAAGAAGGCTTTAAAAAATACTATAAA